ATAGTCAATCACTGATAACCATTGCGTGAGCTATGGTAATGTGAGTGATAGTCTGTCACTGATAGCCGTGGCGTGAGTAACGGTAACGTGAGTGATAGTCCATCACTGATAACCATGGCATGAGTTACGGTAACGTGAGTGATAGTCAATCACTGATAACCATGGCGTGAGTTGCGGTAACGTGAGTGATAGTCCATCACTGATAACCATGGCGTGAGTTACGGTAACGTGAGTGATAGTCCAACACTGATAACCATGGCGTGAGTTACGGTAACGTGAGTGATAGTCCATCACTGATAACCATGGCGTGAGTTACGGTAACGTGAGTGATAGTCAATCAGTGATAACCATGGCGTGAGTTGCGTAACGTGAGTGATAGTCCATCACTGATAACCATGGCGTGAGTTGCGTAACGTGAGTGATAGTCCATCACTGATAACCATGGCGTGAGTTACGGTAACGTGAGTGATAGTCCATCACTGATAACCATGGCGTGAGTTACGGTAACGTGAGTGATAGTCCATCACTGATAACCATGGCGTGAGTTGCGTAACGTGAGTGATAGCCCATCACTGATAACCATGGCGTGAGCTACGGTAACGTGAGTGATAGTCCATCACTGATAACCATGGCGTGAGTTACGGTAACGTGAGTGATAGCCCATCACTGATAACCATGGCGTGAGTTGCGTAACGTGAGTGATAGTCCATCACTGATAACCATGGCGTGAGTTGCGTAACGTGAGTGATAGTCCAACACTGATACCAATGGCGTGAGTTGCGTAACGTGAGTGATAGTCCATCACTGATAACCATGGCGTGAGTTGCGTAACGTGAGTTATAGTCCATCACTGATAACCATGGCGTGAGTTGCGTAACGTGAGTGATAGTCCATCACTGATAACCATGGCGTGAGTTGCGTAACGTGAGTGATAGTCCAACACTGATAACCATGGCGTGAGTTACGGTAACGTGAGTGATAGTCCATCACTGATACCCATGGCGTGAGTTGCGTAACGTGAGTGATAGTCCATCACTGATACCCATGGCGTGAGTTGCGTAACGTGAGTGATAGTCAAACACTGATAACCATGGCGTGAGTTACGGTAACGTGAGTGATAGTCCATCACTGATAACAATGGCGTGAGTTACGGTAACGTGAGTGATAGTCCATCACTGATAACCACGGCGTGAGTTGCGTAACGTGATTGATAGTCCATCACTGATACCCATGGCGTGAGTTGCGTAATGTGAGTGATAGTCCATCACTGATAACCATGGCGTGAGTTGCGTAACGTGAGTGATAGTCCATCACTGATAACCATGGCGTGAGTTACGGTAACGTGAGTGATAGTCCATCACTGATAACCATGGCGTGAGTTGCGTAACGTGAGTGATAGTCCATCACTGATAACCATGGCGTGAGTTGCGTAACGTGAGTGATAGCCCATCACTGATAACCATGGCGTGAGTTGCGTAACGTGAGTGATAGTCCATCACTGATAACCATGGCGTGAGTTACGTAACGTGAGTGATAGTTTATCACTGATAACCATGGCGTGAGTTACGGTAACGTGAGTGATAGTCCATCACTGATAACCATGGCGTGAGTTGCGTAACGTGAGTGATAGTCCATCACTGATAACCATGGCGTGAGTTGCGTAACGTGAGGGATAAATCACATGGTTTTATAACGTGAAAGAAATCACAGAAAACGGGTGCTAACTAATTAAATAACTAACTAATTAAATAACTAACTAATTAAGTAGCTTACTAATTAAATAACTAACTAATCAAATAGCTAAGTAATCGAATAACTAACTAATTAAATAACTAACTAATTAAATAGCTTACTAATTAAATAACTAACTAATTAAATAATTAACTAATTCATGATAAACGTAGTTTTTTTTTTTTTTAAAGTTAAGGAATATAAGAATCAATAAATATTTGTATTTTTTAATTTAATATGTTCAGATAATTTTGATGTTTTACTATAAACTCTTATCAGGAAATTCGTTTGAATGAAATTTCGTCGTTGGAAAATTGATCGACGGAAATTTGATCCAACGGAAATTGGGTCGAATTCTTTTTTCAGTTCACACGATCTCATTTTGGGTCAAATTGGAACGCATTCTTTTGTTTTACTATATGGTGTTGCACGTTCAAAAAGAAGATTGTTCACATGATTAGTTCACATGATTAGTTCACATGATTAGTTCAAATGATTAGATCCCATGATAGGTCACGTGATTAGTTCACATGATTAGGTCACATGATTAGTTCAAATTCTAGTTCCTATGATTAGATCACATGGTTAGTTAACATAATTAGTTCACATAATTGTTCATACGATTATTTCACATGATGAGTTCGTTCACATGATTAGTTCAAATGATTAGGTCAAATGATTAGGTCCCACGATAAGGTCACATGATTAGTTCACATGATTAGGTCACATGATTAGTTCACATGCTTGTTCACATGATTAGCTCACATGATTAGGTCACATGATTAGTTCACATGCTTGTTCACATGATAAGTTCACATGATTAGGTCACACGATTAGTTAACATAATTAGTTGACATGATTGTTTACTTGATTGTTCACATGACTATTTCACGCATGATTAATTCACATGATTAGTTCACAAGATTAGGTCAAACTGAAAAAAACCATCAAATATACCTTGGTCATAATTTTTTTAATTTTTAAAAAATTTTTATTTCTGTTAAAGGCAGTCAGAAAATAATCAATATTTGTAATGGTATTGATCTCCTCCCAATGAATGGTGTGTATTTCATTTAGAAATAATAAAAAAAAAAAGAAATCTTAATGCTATATTAACAGTGCGATTCACAAGGTGTTAAATATTCCAGGCAGAATAACTGGAAAACATTTTTTTTTAAAAAGGAAAACTATTTAACTTGAACAGACCGCACTGTGATAATAAGAACCGGATGGGGTTTTTAACAGAAATTGATTTTCTGTCATTGGTTGCAAAATATCTGATTGAAAATGTCTGTCAGATTTTGACCGATATAAATTGACTCTGTGTGCTAGACAAGGGCTGTCTACTGTGCCGAACAAAGACACGTGAAGGCCTCTGGGCAGTCAAAATTGTGTCGCAGCCAGGAGCGTTTCTAAAAGTGTGCGAAAGGGGTGAGCGCCCCGGGTGGCATTTTGGGTATAATTGATAGGCGTAAGATTATTTGATGTGTTTGTCAGGGAGTTGCAATTTTGAGGCGTTCCCCCTGATCGTCATTTAGTCAAGATAGACCACTGCTATCTCACCCCCCACCCCTCCACCCCCCCCCCCCAAACAAACAAAAAAAAAAGAAAACAACAAACAAAGAACCCACAACGTATCCATAGCCTTTACTCTGAGTTCTAGTTCTAGTGTCAACCTTTAGTTAAATATCACCACTAGAAATTCGAAAGTCTTTTATTTACACATTTTTAATAACGTGTTCACTTACCCCATTAACTGATAAAGCGTATTTTTTTTCTATTCAATACTGATGTCATCAGAAGAGGCCAGTCTCTAAAACTCCTCCGTCTGATGATAACTGTGTCGGTCAAGTTTACGCCGTGTCATGTTTTCTTTACTTGTCCTTTGCTTCTACCAATTCTATGAATTGATATATATGTGGAGATGCCTAAGATACCTACCAATACCATAATATACTTTAGCATCCGCTAATTCTATGACTTGATATCTGTTTGAGATGTCTGAGGAACACCAGTAGACAGATTGGTGAGTTCTTTGGACGTTGACTCAAACATCAGAAGACAGGTTGGTAAGTTCTTTGGACGTTGTCTCAAACATCAGATGACAGATTGGTGAGTTCCTTGGACGCTGTCTCTAGCATCAGATGACAGATTGGTGAGTTCCTTGGACGTTGTCTCAAACATCAGATGACAGATTGGTAAGTTCCTTGGACGTTGTCTCATACATCTGATGACGGATTTGGGTGTTCCTTGGACGTTGTCTCAAACATCAGATGACGGATTTGGGTGTTCCTTGGACGTTGTCTCAAACATCAGATGACAGATTTAGGCTTTTCTTGGACGTTGTTTCAAACATCAGATGACAGATTTAGGCTTTCCTTGGACGTTGTTTCAAACATCAGATGACAGATTTAGGCTTTCCTTGGACGTTGTTTCAAACATCAGATGACAGATTTTAGGCTTTCCTTGGACGTTGTTTCAAACATCAGGTGACAGATTGGTGAGTTCCTTGTACGTTGTCTCAAACATCAGATGACAGATTTAGGCTTTCCTTGGACGTAGTTTCAAGCATCAGTCGGTGCACGGAGAATGGATAAACGAATGAAGAGCCGTACAGTGCTTAAAATCACTTAAGTAGTTCAAAAAAATGGACTTTTAGAGGCCCTGGGTAGGTGCTTAAACATGCCAATGTACTCGCCTGATTTAGGCGCCAACTTATATGGCCTATTTCATCATTATTTAAGGCTTTCTAATAACATTGCCAGCTAAACTCATATAAATAAGATGAAATAATTTACTATGATACCAGTTGCCCATTTCTATGGATTTCAAGCTGACTCAGTTATAGAGACTGATGTTTTTAAACACTCGTAAATCATGGTGGATGGATATCTAATAATTTTAAAATGATTTTTTTTTGCTTTACATAGCAAATAAATTAATCGATCCCTCTAGTGACTCTCACAGTCTGATAATCAATGTGCCATTTTTAGCGATATTTGTGAAGCTACTAAATATATCTATCATTTAAAAGAAGAAGCGTTTGAAATATTTGGGTAAAAAAAAAAGCCAATTTAATTCCATTTTTTTTTAGATCCATTGTTTTGAATCCATGAAAATGCACCGAGTCCCCAGGGCCCCGTCGACCAATAAAGCTATAGAGCAACGGTATGATTCAAAACAACTCGGGTCATTGTATTGATCTGTGCATGGGACACATACATAAATGTCCTGGCTGATGATTAGAGTACAGTGAGACTGGCTGAATGTCGACACGGGTGTGGATAGTGACACCATCCAGACATCAGACAGGCTCAAAGTTTGGTTTGAAAAGGGGAAATTTCTGATTTATGTGGAATGTGTTATGCGCCGTCGAATGTGTAAACAAAAAAAACAAAAAAAAAAAAAAAAAAAAAAAAAAAAGAAAACAAAAAAAATCTTTCAGCTTGATATGTTGATAATACCTATAATAAAACCTTAATTATATTTCTTTTTAAAGAAAATAATTTCGATTTTTTCCCCCCTTTTTCATCTATTACAACTTACTGACAACTTACTGACACCTAACTGACAACTTACTGACATCATACTGACAACTTACTGTCAACTCACTGACATCTTACTGATAACTTACTGTCAACTTACTGACATCTTACTGATAACTTACTGACACCTAACTGACAACTTACTGACACCTTACTGATAACTTACTGTCAACTTACTGACATCTTACTGACACCTTTCTGACAATTTACTGACACCTTACTGACAACTTAACAGTGCCATGTGTAAACAATATTGATTGGACTTAAACTCCTCTGTTTACGATTGAAAGTTAACACGGAACAAAATGTTCTCTGTGCAGAAAGACATCCATTAGTTGTCTGCACCAAACGGCAGCTACAAGGAAGCGATTTCAAGACACTTCATTCAACACCGCAACATGTTACTTCTTAAAACAGGTAAAGTAAATCACTTTAAACGAACACTGGTGTTTAGTCATGCTTTAAAAAGTTGACACTTTGCAATGTCAAGGGCGTCTATTCCCCCCCCCCCATCCCTTGTGTGGACGCCCCTTTTGTGGAGCTGGGTTCTTCCTGTGTCAACCCAGATTATTTGAACACTGCACATGCTATTGTGTATTTGCTAAATTTCTTGCTATTGGCCAATTTGTAATATGACTTGATATTTAGCAAGACATGTGCTGATCTTAAAATAAAGACCATCTTATTTGCCAGAAGGGTGGAGAAAAAAAAACATGTGTTTATCATAAGTATAAGATTTGAAAGTATATCGCAGTAATGGAAAATATTTTAGAGCCATTACACCAGCAGCTTTTCCTGTCGACATTTTAAAATAAGTAATGCTATTTCTATTTCAAGTTCGTTACCATTCCAACACAAAAATAGTCTTACGCATGGGCGCGGGGGGGGGGGGGGGGGATTTTTTGGGGGGGGGTGGTGACAGTCTTGAAGTTCTAATTAATTATTAAAATTAATTTAGTTGCATTAATGTATTGTTTTGTTTCTTAATTTTGTAATATAAAGGGGTGGGGCGCCGAACACCAGGGGTGTGGCAAGTAAAACCTGAATCTAAGCGCCCTCTTCCACCCCAAAAAGTTTTATATTAACACATGACGATTTAAAACGTGAAGATTCTGGCGCGTGCCGAGGTGGCGCCCCAAGTGAGATGGCGCCCCAAGTGGTGCTTCCTTCACTCCCTACTATTTGTACTGCCCCACTATACCCCAGCCACTCTTGAAATATACTGTCGGCGACCTCGGATATTGTAAGAGAAGTTATCATTTTTATTTTCTTTAAAAAATAATCAAAATTATTAGACACGAAAATACATCAAAGAGAAAGCTCTATGTAGAAGGTGACTGGCCGTGTATAAGGTTAACAGGACATATTCCAAATGACATGATCGTAATATGCAATAAAAATATTTTCTTGTTGAAACTTAACTTTGAGATTATTGCTTAAATTGTTTAGCAGAAATTTTCAAACACTTTGAAACAAACATTTAAAAATGAATTTCGATGACATAACAATTAATCTGTTGAGGAATAAAGACTTTATTTCAAGTCAAATCTCCAGTTGCAGATATTCAGTCATTTCCCTAAATCATTTGATTCAATTAATTTTGTTTTCCAAGTCTTTCCCATAAACATTCCAAGTGGTTTGTTCGCAATAATTTTAAAATATGTCTATTTTTTTGAAAAAAACTTTATTCTGAAGAAGAAAAGAGAAGCCAGGTGTAATTTTAAGTTGACACTTTTACTTCATATTATTACTGTACAAAGAATTGCTATCTTTATACGTGTTCCCTCTTCCTAACAAGATTTAAACAAATAAAATGTATAACATTAAAGAATAATAATCGGTATTCCAAAAGAAGCAAACGTATTAAAACTAATCGTTAAATAGTTATTAGACTTTCATCATATCAGGTCATTTCTTTCAAACTGAGATACCTTTCGTTTATTTCCAAATCCAGTGTTTTTTCTGTGCACCGCTGGAACCACATCCGGCTACGTCACCAGTAACTCGTACTACCCAGAAGAAGACATCTGCGTCTGCCCGTGTCTGCCTTCCACACTCAACTTTTCCAGCGAAGCCGCCACCACCGTGAAAGAAGCCCAACAAAAGGCAGCTGAAATAGAGAGGGAACTGACGCTGGATAAGAGCTCGACGTCGGCCTCCACCAGGACCAAAACCAGCCAGCCCGACACCCGTGTTTCAGCAAAGTCTATCGGCGCCGTCGGCGTGGTCTTTATCGTTATCGTTTTCGGCACCATCGTCGTCCTCGACATCAGCTCGGCCCGTCAACACGAACAGCGGAACAGCAGGAGGAGGTCGAGTAAACGACGAAAGAAAGACGCGCCAAGCGTGGCTCCAGCAATCAACATCAACGTCGAACACTATTCGATGGCAGACCTCCTCTTGTACTCGGTCTCGAAGTCGGCTTTGCATTTTCCGGGTCCTTTGAACCGCTCGCTGGGAGGCGGGCCGCTGAGAAGTAGTTTTCCCGGCCTTCCCTTCTCAACGCCAGTTGGAGTGGCTCCGGTTTCGCCAAGGCCCTCATCGGGGCAAGATCTGGTTGATTGTCTTGGTCAAGGTGACAATAATCCGTTTGGCGCCTTTCGGGATAACCTTGGCGTCAGAGCGCTGCAGCTCCCTTATCGGAGAACCAGTGAGGTTTAGAAAGATTTGACTTTGAATCTGAGTGCTGTATTGACCAGCTACACAGTACATTACCGATAAATAAGTTAACAGGCCATTCATGTTTAAAATTGCACTTAAAGATAATTCTTTGTAAAATACCATCTACCGCAAAAGCTTTGGTTAAATTTGCCAGCGACAATAGATCGTCGGCACCCATAACAATGATTCCTTGGATCGGATGAAATACTCATTTCACTTAGACTTAAGGTTAAATTTATTGTATCGGAACAATTACTTAAAATTTTTAAATATATTCTATGTAATCCATGATAAATGATGGCAGTTATCTAAAACTATCCGTCCAGGACAGTGATCGGCAAAACGCGGCTCGCGAGCCACATGTGGCGCTTTAGCGACGTGATTGCGGCTCGGCAAATCGGCTACAAATCGGTTTTGACTCCGAAAAACTTGGTCCTTGAAAAAAAATTTGGCTCCGATTTTTTTTTTTTATCATCCTGCTGAATTCGGCTCTTTGACTACGAGTTTGCCGATCACTGGTCCAGGGGTTCCATGATTTTGGTTTAGGGCACACATGATCATACCATTAGGATACCTGTCTTTTTAAAAAAAATGTTTCATTTTAAAACTATTGAAGTGTTTTTCAAGAACATTTTTAAAAAAAATTTATACAATAGTTAGTTTTAAGTTGATAAAGCTGAAAAATAAGCTGTTCATAATAATTAAATAAATTTTGAAAATCACAAACAAAATACTTCGTTCATGCATTTTATGCATCTGATTTCTTATAAACAACCATTCTGATCTTTTGAATAAATTTAGCGTCGCTTTTAAAGACGAAATAAAAGTCAATATAAAACAATAATAGAATCTTAGACTATCTATGAACACAAGGACAACGGTACGTTTTTATACCGGCCCATTTGGAGACTCACTACCCTGAACCTAATCGTCACGATATCAATTTAATTAACATCCATTGTATAACAATTGAATGGTTGAAGGTGAGTATTACTTTCTGCAGCATATCTTCTCGACACTAACAATAAAAAGTTGAACAACGCCTTCTTTCGGTTTCCGTGCTCAACTTCTAATGCTGAGAATGGCAAAATTGAAGACGAGAGAAGGACCGTCTGGACTTGACAGCGAAGTGTTTTATCCATTGCCATTGGGGCCAATCAATGCGTGCTTTCAATACTTAACATGTCGGAAGTCTGTGATCGTTTTTTTTAAGACTATGACGTCAGACGACATTTTTATTGACGTGGCCATTTTCGAATTAATTTGGATAATTTTGTTAACGAAGGCTCAACATTAAACATGAGAATAATTGTAACATAAGGTGTTTGGTGGCGTTTTGTGGTATTCGTTGGTTGATTTTGGTGATGGTGTTTAGTGATGGTGTTTGGTGATGGTGTTTGGTGATGGTGTTTGGTGATTGGTGTATGGTGATGGTGTTTAGTGATGGTGTTTGGTGATGGTGTTTGGTGATGGTGTTTAGTGATGATGTTTGGTGATGGTGTTTGGTGATGGTGTTTGGTGATGGTGTTTGGTGATGGTGTTTGGTGATGGTGTTTGGTGATGGTGTTTGGTGATTGGTGTATGGTGATGGTGTTGGCGATGGGGTTTGGTGATGGGGTTGGCGATGGTGTTTGGGGGTGGTGTTTGGTGATGGGGTTTGGTGATGGTGTTTGGTGGTGGTGTATGGTGTTTGGTGATTGGTGTATGGTGATGGTGTTTGGTGATGGTGTTTGGTGATGGTGTTTGGTGATGGTGTTTGGTGATGGTGTTTGGTGATGGTGTTTGGTGATGGTGTTTGGTGATGGTGTTTGGTGATTGGTGTATGGTGATGGTGTTGGCGATGGTGTTTGGTGATGGTGTTGGCGATGGTGTTTGGTGATGGTGTTTGATGATGGTGTTTGGTGATGGTGTTTGGTGATGGTGTATGGTGATGGTGTTTGGTGATGGTGTTTGGTGGCGTTTGTTAGTTTTTTTGTGGTGGTGTTTTGTGGTGGTGTTTGGTTCTTGTTTGGTGGTCGTGTTTGGTTGCACTTGCTGCCGTGGTGGTGGATTTTGGTGGCGTTTGGTCGTGTTGTTTGGTGGCATTTGGTGGTGTTGTTTGGAAGCGCATGGTGGTGTTTGGTGGTGATGTTTGTGCATAATGTTGGTGTTGTTTGTGGCTTGGTGTTGTTGTTCGTATTTTTGTTTGGTGTTTGCATCTGTATTATAATTATGTAACCATTATTTAAGCGTAACCTATATTGTTTTATTTACACAAATCGTTTTTTTTTTTTTCATCTGAGCCCAAATACAGGACTGCTCACCAATACAAATATGGAGACTTTACTATGGAGACTTTACTATGGAGACTTTACTACGGAGACTTTACTACGGAGACTTTACTATGGAGACTTTACTATGGAGACATTACTATGGAGACTTTAGTATGGCGACTTTACTATGGAGACTTTACTATGGAGACTTTACTACGGAGACTTTACTACGGAGACTTTACTATGGAGATTTTACTACGGAGACTTTACTACGGAGACTTTACTATGGAGACTTTACTATGGAGACTTTACTATGGAGACTTTACTACGGAGACTTTACTATGGAGACTTTACTACGGAGACTTTACTATGGAGACTTTACTACGGAGACTTTACTATGGAGACTTTACTACGGAGACTTTACTACGGAGACTTTACTACGGAGACTTTACTACGGAGACTTTACTACGGAGACTTTACTACGGAGACTTTACTACGGAGACTTTACTACGGAGACTTTACTACGGAGACTTTACTACGGAGACTTTACTACGGAGACTTTACTACGGAGACTTTACTACGGAGACTTTACTACGGAGACTTTACTACGGAGACTTTACTACGGAGACTTTACTACGGAGA